GAGAGGAGAGGAGAGGAGAGGAGAGGAGAGAAAAAGGGAGAGGAAGAGGGTGGGAGAAGAAGGAGAAGGAAGAGAAAGGGAGCGGGAGGGGGGAAGGAAGAGAAAGAGGGAAGGGGGAGGGGAAGGAAGAGGAAGAGAGAAGGGGAAAGGGAGGGAGAGAGATGATGTCTGGTTCTGTACCACTCTGAAAATGCAACCCAGATGTGATGCCCTTCTCGTTTCCAAAAGGCACTTTCAGAAAGGAGTGAGCTCAAGGGAGTGGTATTTTAGGAGCTGGAGCTACAGCTATTGGCTGGAGGATGTTCCAACTGAAGGAGAGATGTGAAAAATGCTGTCTCAAGCTCAAGATCCAGGAGCTGAGAGTCTGCTTCAATCTACCCTTTCCTTTCTCCACAGACAACAGACTGGGAGTGCCCTCCCTCTCTCCCGGCATGGCAGCTGAGTGCCCTCCCCTTCCTTGCCAGGCTCCAGCGTGGATCAAGATGGGCAGCGATACTGAGGGTGTCGCAGCAGCTGCAGGCAGTGGAGAGGGTTGGGTCAGCCCGCAGCAGCTGCAGGCAGTGGAGAGGGTTGGGTCAGCCCGTGAGATGCCTGCGGCCCAGCGGTGCCTCCCAGCGCCTCATGGCACAGCGGTCATTTGGGGCAGGGCTGCACCAGCACTTGTGGGGCCTTCACGCCTTCTGTAGCCCGCAGCAAGGGGGGCCAGGTGGGTGCTTCTCCCCCTGCTCTCCCACCCGGCTTTGCATCAGGCTGCTCCCTTCCTGCCACCCTTGGGGATTTGGGAGGGCTGCTCCAAAGTGTGGGAGTGCAGAGGAGACCAGCAGCCTGAGAAGTCATTTTCCTGCAGGCTGCAGCGCTTAAAGAATGGGAGAAACAGCTCTGGAGGAGGGGAGGGAAGCATGGCCCTGCCCAGGGAGGACTGACCTCTTCAACCTACTGCTCTGCGCATGGCATGGGAAAATGTCTGAGACTAGGAGCCATCTCTCTATCTAATAAGAAGCAGAGGGAAGGAAATGTGGCATTTTGTATGCACCTAGTTAAACCAGAAGTAGAAAAATGGCTTGTGCATGGGGACGGCAGTTTGAAAGAGCTTCTTGTCATCAGTCTGCTTTCTGGAGGAAAGCCCCTCCTCTGCCCCAATCCAGCTTCTTATTCCCACAGATTGGCCTTTCATGTCACCCTCCCCGCTCCGCCCCAGCTCCTACCCCTCCAGCCAACCATGGTACTGTGCTGCACTGGTGAGCTCTTGAGCCCATTGCCTCCAGCTCATGGAAATCACGGGTCAGATGTCGGGAAATCACTCTGTGCTGAAGTTTCAGCAAAAGCTTCCAGTAGCAGGGAGTTGCAGTCAGTGAAGCCAGGACTCTCTGGAGTCCGGGCAGGCCCTCCACCATGTCCATTTGGGCTGGGATCCCCCATGAGCTGCCTTGGCAGAGCTCCTCACGCCATCTGGCACACACTGCGGGACCTTCCTCCAGAGCGGTGCCCGTGCTTCTGTGAGCTTCCTTTGCGGTAGTGCCTTGGCCATGCCCCAACAGCCACCACAGGGGAGAAAAACGGACCCTGTTAAAGTGACCCTTGGCACAGTGGGACTCAACAACAAGCTCTGTGCCAGATGCGATGCCCTCCTGCTCATGTGCTCATGCTGCCAGTGGCCGTGTCTCTCTGCCTGTGTCCACCTGCCCCCGTTTGAATCAGCCTGAGGAAGCCAAATGATAAGCACAGATGCAGCCTTGCCCGCCCCACCCTGCGGCTCACTTGATCTCTTCTCCCCTCTCTAGCTCTTTCCACTCTTTTCTCTACTCCTGCTTCTTCCCCCTCCTTTGCACAGTGTGAATGACCACAGCGAAATCCGCAGCATCAGCTGCACTGTCCTGAAAGCAGGTCAGAGGCGGATAAGCTGGGATAAGGGATTGGGACAGAGCTGTAGCTGGGAACCTCTTGACCACAGTGAGGAGGGGGAGCAGCCACAGCGGAACCTGGCAGCCTCCCTTGGGCAGAGGCTGGGCAGGAGAGTGCTGGGAGACTGGCACCACTGCAGCGCCTTCACGTAGGCACTGCTTCATGCAGTGCACGTCACCAGGGCACTGGCTTGCTGAAGTTGACACTGCAGCAATCCCGCCTTCCCCGCCCGCCGCTGCCACGCAGGGCAGCATCGCAAAGACCTTTCCTCTGTGTCACCACCAGCAGCCCTGTGTGCTGAGGAGCCGCCGTTGATGCAGTTCCTCAGGCTGGACACAGCCCGCGCTGCTGCAGTGTCAGGGCTGTTGCAGCTATCTCTCGCTTGACTGTCACCTCCTCTCCCTGCTGCCCTCTCCGCTCCTCCCGTGTGGCATAGGGCTGGGAATGATCAGAAAACATCCCCTCTTCTGCCCGCTCCCTCTCCTCACAATCTGGCTGAGTTCCCATATTTATGGCACCACTCGGGGCGGGGTGGGGGGGCGCAGTCTGCTCCCAGCTTGGGTCATTTCCCCAGCAATGCCCGACCTGAGTTCTCCCTCCTTCCCTTCTATCAGCCCCTCCCCCAGGTGAAGCTCCATCCCACATCTTCCCTGCAATGCCCTTGGAAATAAAACCCGTGTTTACTGGTTGCCCCCCTCCTGAAATTCACATCTGAAATGATGCCTGACTGGGTAGGGAGGCAAGGAGTACCTGCAATTAAAATACAAGAACAAAAGTGAGGAGAGGAGTGAGGAGAAAGAGGTGGGAGAAGCAGGGGAAGGAAGCAAGGGGAGTTTGGTTGTTTAATGGCACTCACCCTGGTCCTTCTTTGCAGGGACTCAAGTGCATGTGCGGTTTGGAGGGCACAGGGTGGAAAGCACAATAATGCATGCGGTGAGCAGGGGGAATGCTGGCCGTGGGGAGACACTTACCTTCCTAGGGTAGGGGTGAACGAGAGATTGAGAAAGTGCTGGCTGAAGGGAGAGGAGAACGAAGCTGACGAAGGATGCAGGACCTCAAGGGGAGATGATGTGTCCTCTAAGCCAACGGCGGCAGCAGCAGGATGGAGACGCCCCTGATAGGGCCGGGACAGCAGCATGTGACCCAGAGCTGCGATGAGTCAGGATTTAGCAAAGCTTTGCAAACAGCACGTAGAGGATGGAGAGGGAAAGCGAGAGAGGCAGACAGGGGACAGACCAGACACAGACAGACGAGGGTGAGAGAGCCAGGGAATAGAAGTGGGTGTGCAGGATAAACAATTCCAGTCACTCCAGGCTCATTAACTATTTTTATTCAAATCAGAAAATCTTGCAAGAATTTTGAAAGCCATAAATAAAACTATATAACCTACAACTCTTCCTTTTTGCTCAGGGCCTTACTGAGAGTCGTGTGTGTACGCAGTGAACACAAGAGCCCTGCAGTTCCTCAGGATGCATAATCCTCCTCTTTTCTCCTGGCACATGCAGATACCTGGAGCTCTTGCTTTCCCTGCCACACACATGCCAGTAGTGGAAGGGCATCTCCATGTCATGAAGCACTCAAGGAACAGGCAGGGAAAGCAGGATCACTCAGTTACATCATCTTCAGCAAATTCCTCCATTTCCTGAAGAAGAAAAGAGAAAGAAGTTAAATCAACCCATGTCCTATTTTCTTTCCTTTTTTTTTTTTCCTCTTTGTTGCTCCTGCTAGTAGGGTTTAAAATGATAGCAGGGTTTTGATTCTCGGCTGTGTCTGTTGCAGGCCCCTCTGCCCTTGGGATTGGCTTCCCTCAGCCTTTTCCTCCTGTAAAGGAGA